CTACCTGGCCATTTACATTTTGGTCTATCTGCCGTCACGGTTAAATTTTTCACAGCAATATGCAGTCTGATTTCGGCAGTGTTGGTGCGGTCTTGGGATGAAGCCCTGAAAATCCTTCTTCTCTTTGTCCTCTCGATGATTGGCAGCTGGTTTTAATTCCGTTTCGTTAAAGAGCACCATTCACTATCGTACGGCATCACCAGCAATACGCTTGTGAGGGAATGCTTCGCCCGCGCTGATCAGCTGGCCTTTCAAAGTGAGGTGTCTGTGAGGAAGCTCAATGCACGCCAACCTGATTTCGTCCTGCGTGAGATTTCTGCTTTCTGATAGCGTCACGTGTTGACTTCTTGGTCGGAACAGAAATGACTCTACACGTCGTTCAAAATCTCCTATGAACATACGCTCACCTATGTAGTTATGTCAGATGCTCACTTCGTTCAGTGGCAAACAATGTTTTTTTCTCACTATTCTTTCTTCTGAAAAATTCATCAAACACCAGTTGTTTCTGTCATTCATTTCGTCATTTGCCAATGAAATGTCATCACTCTTTCATGGAGTGAACAACAGAATGAAAAGTTGTAGTTTTTTTCGAAGATTGACATGGATAATGGCTTCGAAATCTTTCGAGCAGATTTTATAATTACGGTAGCATCATTTCGGACACAAAACTGCTTTTAAAGAAAGAAAAAGCATTGCCGACCTCGGTCCGCGTTTTTAGCAGTGGATTGGTTGATGGCTAGTTACAGACAGACTTTCATGGTCATCTCATTGGGCTAGAAGCATTCACAACGCCCCGTTTCATTCTGCCAGAAGATCTCCTACACTTCGATCGTTGGCCACTCTCCACGACGAGAGAAGAAAAGAAAAAGGGATGTTTGTCACCAGTGGGATATCGATCTCCGTTATTGCTTCGTGATTGGCAGGTATTTGCGGCGCCCTTCTTGTCACACCAATCATGGTGCCGCGCTGACTACCGGCGTTTTCATACAATCGACCAAGGTGGTCGCCTTTCTTTTTTTCAAACGCAATTTAGCAACCTGACCGTAACCAAAAAAATGTATTTTAATGTGACAGTAGTAATGAGGATCAACCTAGATTGCCACCCTTTAGGAAAAATGGATTTTAGAGAAGCATTCAAATTATAGATCTCGATAGCAACTTTCAAAGTATGTTTGTTTAGTTTTTCAATTCCAACAACCAGATTTGTGACTCACCACAACCGAAACATTTTTCTTTATGCGGAACGATTGCATGGTCGGTTTCTACAAACAAACGTAGTAAAATCTATCGCAATGCAATGCAATTCGATTCTACCCTGAAAACATTTGGGGATGTTCTTAATTAATGAGGTAAAACAACTCATAGGCCTTACATTGGTAGCAAAATCATTCCTGTTTGATTGCTAGGAAAACCAACGTAACTCGGCCTATGAATCGTCCAAAAACCTTATTCGCAATGCCAATAACAGCTGGCCTGGTCACGCAGTATTCTTCTTTCTAAACAAGTTACAGCAGCATTACTAAATGAGAAGGAGAGGACATAAAGCTGTAGACGTTTCACCAGAACATGCTATTTCTTGCTGGTATGCTATTCTCAGCCAGAAGAAACATGAAGGACTTTCTTAAGTGGAAACTAAATGGTATGAACAGCAGTTAAAGTAGTTGTGAAGTTTTTTTCCTTTCAGGACCTTCTGCTGACACTTATGAGCAACTACTGCAATTTTCGGCTGTCATCTGAACTGTGAGTAGTTTTACGTGCATAGAGTAGTGTACTTGTACAACCAAGCTCTGGATAAGGATAGTTTTTTCGTTGAAACCGCCATAAAAATTTATCTCTTAATACAGCAAATTAAATTGCTTTACGTCACCCTTTGGACATACGTTACGTTTGAAGTAGACGCTGAAGTCATGCAAATGGTTTTGAGATTTTTGAACTAAATCAAAGCTTCCATGGCAATACTTAAGTGGATTTGGACGAGTTGCATAAAGGAATAATGTACGTGTTACCGTGAAAAGCAACAATCCCTCCATGGCATATGAACTAGTAGAGGTAAAACCGAGAACCGAGACCTCCAGCATACAGTACAGAGAATCTGGTCCTTGAGTCCTGGAGTAGTCTTAGCTATACTCTGGTAAGACAGAGGGACTATTGATGTGATCAGTTTCAGTGCGTCGGTATGGACGGTAACATGCGCGATTCAAGTCGAAGGACCGCTGACTGGTTTCTTATGAACAGTGAAATTTGTCAGGGAAATAGTCGATCCGTTCTAAACTTCTTTTGTCAAAAAGGCTGTTCCGAGCAACGACGAGTGTCTCATTGTAGAGGGGAGGAGCATTCAAGATGCCGATCTTGGCCACATGTAGGCACTTTTTCATAAGCAGCATGACAAATAGCTGTTTTAAACTTACGAAGCAGAAATGCAATCACAAAAACAAACCTTTTGCCTTGACCGGATGGGTCAAGTTTTTAAATTTTACGAGGAGGTCAACCTAAAAGATTAATTCATTAGTGCATCAAGACGTCGAGGCAGTAGCGGGTGTAGAGTAATTTTATGAGCTCGACTCTGCCATCGCCAACGAATGTACAGGGTAATTGGAATTGACAACGAGAATCGTTCTGCCTCCAGCGCATTCGCAATTATGTCAAATATTTGCCTTATAAAGCAATATTTTTGGCGATAAACACCCTGTCTATTTAGTCTCCGTTAGTTCGATGTTCTCACACAGTGTCCAGACAATTGTGGGAAGGAAAGACAAGGAACGACGTTGAAACAGCATCATGCCACCGGTTTTGACTTATAAAGAAGATTAAAATATAGCGGGCTCATGTTGGGACTGGCCCTTGCTTCGTCCAGGAATGTGTGTCCACTGCGGAAGTGAGCTTGGCAATGTTGGCTAGATTAACTATGCATATGCCATTGATCTCAGTCAGTTGGCCTGTGTCGAACGATACACTGCAGACATAAACCAGGAGGGTAGTGTGCAGTGTTAATGAACTTGATAGAGGCAAAGGAATGTTTGTAAGCGTGAAGTGTAAGCAGCTGCTTCTGAGTAAATGTGTTGAGGTAAAGTATCTGAAGCGCGGAAGTGAAAGTGCTTGGTAAACTGATGCTTAGGAATATATTTTCTGGTTGTTGAGGTATCCTATGATCAGGCCAGCTCGTGAAATATCGTAATGAGCGCGACGCCGCTTTAACAAGCAAGATACCGGGAGATGTGGCAGTGCAGATGGTCAAATGCCACGGCGTCGTTGCCTGCATAAATGAACCCCCTCCCCCCCCCGCAACAGGAGCTAAATGCAATGAGGCATGAAATCTGCCGTGTACAACGGAGAGTTATGCATCAAGTATTGAAGAGGCGAGAGCGCAGTGGACTTCCGGTTCAGCATCTGATTGGTCCAAACTCATGGATAGTGTGACAGACACGCCCCTTCAAAACAAGTTAAATTCATCTTGAGAAAAAGTCGCACTTGCGTATATCTCGGAAATCGAGGTTCGCCTATTAGGCGCTAAATGAAGTCTTTTCTTATAAAATCTATTATAACCAAATACATAAAATCGCTGGCAGATATGAATTTACCGCGAAAGGCTGTAAGTGTAAAAAATTTACACCAAGCCACTATGTGAAACTCCAAGCAACTAACAGATTATATAACTTCTTTATATAACCGCATTTTTTACAGCTGTTTCAGTGGCTGCCAGTGTCAATACGTTGATGGCGATTGCACTGGAGAGGTACTTCGCTCTCTGTAAGCCGCTCTACTCAAGACAGTGGAAAACGAAATCGAACACGATCCGAATGATTTTTGGCGTCTGGGTATTAGCTTTCCTCTTCTCGATTCCTCATGCCATTGTCGCAGAAGTGGTGGAAATCAACCCTGGTAAGTAAAGACTATTTAAAGATCATATGGTTGTTAAATTTTAATTTTAAAGCTCAGGTATTTGCATATGTCCGTGTCGGTAAACAAATGATATGTAATTCAACTAATTGTATGCAGTCACAAAAAATAATAAACGTATATCCTTCTCCATTAGAAACATAGCTAATGACGTCTTTGCATAAATGGATGTTCAACCTAATTAAACATTTAATGAACATTTATAATTTAACATAATCAAAAACCGATATTTACTCATATGTGTAGGAGAGGGGGGGGGCTTTACCAAAATCCAATATTTTGCTTGCATCTTACTAAGACTGATGAAGGAGGAGGTGGAATGGACACATCGACAAGAAAGAAAGTTCTTTGATCTGCCGTTCCAGTCTTTTGGCTGAAGCTGTAACGCGGCGTAATTTTCCTTATTAACAGCTAATTCTCTCGGGCATGAATTCAAGCAGCTTTGTTTTGGAGCAGTCAGTTGAGAAATGGAAGAAAGTGGAGGGATAAACGAAGGTTTCAGCATAGTATTCTGCCGTTGGAGGGATTACGAGACTGAAATTCTCCCTCATGTTATGACTGAAATTCGCCGTAAACCAGCTCAAAACTGACCTTATCAGCAATTGCTGATAACTCGAAAATAGAAAAATGTTTTGAAGCCTAAATTATCACAATTTCTTGGTAAAGTTTGGATCTGCAGGATGGATTCATTGATGCATTGCATGGCAACTCGCTGTTTGGGAACTACTACATTAAATACCAGGCATCGCAATGGAAATTACTTAAAGTACTTCAAGCGTAATAAGGCTGTGCTGCTAATTCGTAATCTCCTGAATCATTAGCCTTCGTTTGGGGGAATTAAGAAGCATGGAAGATATGAAGAACTCATTGTTATATTTTGTTCACTAACGCCATGGGTTAGTATAAGCATCATAAATGTTCCAGATTGCTTTGAGTTCAAACATTTCGATACAGTTTCAGATGCAGCGTAAATGTTGTATACTTACTGTTGATTCTTCAGAGCAGGAGAAAATCAACGCCCTCCCCAGTTCTTCTAGGTAACGCGTATGGATGAGTGTAAACAGCGAGACACTGTATAATTTTTGTGTATTAGAGAAATCTGAATTGACCTGTATTGACTACGGAGTCCTCGCCGTGTGCTTTCGCACTGTCTTCAATATTGTTGTCTAGTTTTTTCCAAAACGCAGTATGAACTCTGGCAGAGAGTGAGACTTCATTCTAAAGGCAAGGTGCAGTTCAAGATACCTAGCTACCTAACTTATTGACCTGCAGTATGCAGAAGATATTGTTGTGGTGAGTAGTACCGGGAGGGGACTCTGTCACCATACGGATAGCGTTTGCAACACAGTTGCGAGAGCTGGCCTCTACTTTCACGTCTGGAAGCCAAACGTTATGAGAAGCCCATTAGACACGGCTAATATATTAGCGGAATAGAGAGGATAAGCTGTAGAAGAAGTCAGCCTGTTTAGATATCTTGGTTTGATCATCTCCAACGATGGCACCATCTAAATGTGTAATCAAAATTGTATAAAAGAATCTCCTTAGAATCCAGTGCTTATGGTAATTTGTTCAATATTTGGTCAACAAATATGATGTAATCATTCCCCAAAATCCGCCTGTTCCTTGCCGCGATTCTTGCCAGTATTATTGTGCGGCGTTCTGACGGTGTGTGATAAACGTCTCCATTTTGACCTCTTCGTCTATCCTAATCCAACAAGCGGTTGCACTTCGTCCTGCAGTTGATCTGAAGGTTTTTCTACGGGTCATTTACCCTCCCTTGGAATCCAATCTTGTCGTGTGTCTCTGGACCAGCGATGGTCGGTTGTTCTTGCAACGTGTCCACTACACATTGCCACTTTGGTTTATTCACTTGTGCAGGGCATCTGTGTTCCATCTGAATTCGAACATTGGTGCGTTAATTGCAAAACTGTAAACTTCATGTGGAGCTTACGTCACATTTGTACCGTAATTCCTGTTTTGTTTCAGGTCAGCTGAATTGCAGAGAGAAATGGCCATCCAAGGAATCCCATTTGATCTACTTCATATTTCTGCTACAAGTGTTATTCGTCATTCCACTGATTGTGATGACATTTTTGTACAGTTTGGTGATTCGTAGCTTCCTGGTCGGAATTCAGCTGCAGACGCATCAAGCAAACGGGGACGCCGAAGCAGGTAATGGCGCAGTATGATTGGCATATAACTTGAACGTCCACGCCATGCCATGATGGTCGCGTGACAATCGTTTTCATGTCCGATGAACGAAGTTTCACAACCCGTTTTCCTTCATCCATAAGTCTTATTCTAACAGCCCTCTGAACGGACCCATTCCAACCGGAAGTCTCTAGGTCAGAGTCGTGAAGGCCACGCGCCGTATATCGACAGCTGCTAACCACTTCAAGAAAAAACCAGCTTATTTGGGAGAACCTTCTCAGCAATCCATTTAGCACGTACGCGTGCACAAGTATTTTCTCAGAAAGATCGTATCGGCTATCACGTGGACCGAAGAATTATAGCCAAGCCATCTAAACTTCCGATGATCTACTCGACTGCCGGACCTGCAGCAGTTATCACCTAATGTACAGTAGAACGTGTATATTCATAACGGATATGTTCCTTAGGAAACAACTGTGACAACGCAATGGAATATACATCCATTCATGGCACATATAACAATAATTAACTGCGGTTTTGCAGGTTTACTAGAAAACTGCTATCTATCGATACCACCTATCATCTTAACAATCGCCTGTCAATTCTCTGGATTTTTGACCATGCCCTGCAGGTGAGAAAATACCATGTGGGTGTGGCCCTCTTGAACAAACCACTAGGCCACTAGAAGCAAGGGGCCGGTTCGCCAGTTCGCCACGCCGAGCCAATGCAGAGAAGTAACAAGTTGCTGTTATTCTTAATGGCGGTATTGAAAACTCACAGTTTACTAGCAAACCCATAATACCGAGTTTGACCTTTGGCGTAAGCTATCATTCATTGAAGCTTAAATTCTTCATGACTATTTCCACCGGAAGCGTAAGTGTTTTTGTCATTGTCGTCTTGCTATTAAAACCGACGTGACAAACCAACCAACAGTATTTGTAATTAATTTTTTAAGGTTCTTTCTTTTCTTATTACAAGATCTTTTAGACAGCAGCTAGATCTGCGCCAAGTGCTCACAAGAATTCTTTCTTTTAAGCTGTGTTATTTCTTAGAATCAGCTGAACGCTGCTCCATCTCGAGTTACATTATTGAGTTGTTTTTAGGTAATGTTATTACTGTTTTTACTTTCATTAATTTACCTGTCCGGTGTTCATGTGACTGTAGCATAGCATTGCTGATCTCTAAAAACAGTTGCAATATGTCAGTTGCGATATACAATGAGTTTCGCTCTACCATCAGTAGAAGTCGTTTCAATATGTCAGTTATTCAGAGGAGTTCGATTATCATTTTTCTTAATGGAAATGTCATAATTCTGTTCATTACCTTTGTCACCAAATTCAGCGTCGGTCTTGCTAGAACCCTTTTCATTTTAGGCCTGTTTCATGTTGTTGTCAAGTACAACTGCTTCTCGCTTTTGAAAGCACTTCTTCACCAACGGCAGCCTACCATTCGTCTCATAGCGAATCCGTTCGCTGTCCTTGCTGCCAGTAGCTCCAGTTTTCTTTTTGAAGTAAAATCGTTCTTTGCCCAAAGGCCATGCCATAAAATGCGCAGGTAGTTCTGTGTTCGGGTTCACTTCTGGCATATAATCATTGACGGTAGTCCAAATCTTTCCATATTGATTTGCATTTGGATTATCTCTATTTTGGAGCATTTGCCTTAAAACGGTTACGAGAGCTGACTAGCACCCAGTGCTATAATTCCAGTCGGTAGTTTCGCGATGCACTACGCGCCGTTACGATTATCACAATGAAATACGGTTGTGTTATAGTACTTTCACAATTGCCGGTTACCCGGAACACAGACGATTTCTTGAAAGGGGTTTACGGTTCAGCTAATGATATGACTGGCATTTTTGATTCGTTCCCTCGGCTTCGCCCTCATTTCTAAACCATACGACAGAACTAGAGAGAAAGGATCGAAAGGTGTGTGCTTCCAACTAATATGTTGCAGCTGATACCAACGTTAGCGAATATAGCCAGAGAATATGTTCATGACCTTGCGTCCTTGGAGGCGCCTTCATGAGTCTTGGCAGGAGACAAGCCTGAGTCAGAGCGAAATCTATTGGCGAATTTGAATGAGGTTGTTCTGGGCTCTCGTCAAGATCTTCTTCCCTTTGGCCCAGCAAGCAACAGTTGTTTAGTAGTCGATTAAAGTGATAATTGTTGGCACGCTCTTGCTATCGTATTAACTAACATTGTCATGAGAATTGAAGGCATATTTCTATACATTTTCGGATTGCTTGGCGATGAACTCTGTCCAGATGCACAAATCATGCGCTTGTCCTCCGAAAGCCGATTTCGGTTCCTTGTATCCGTATTTGTGTTTCCTGTCATTATTCGTGACTCATGTCCATATGAGAATAATAGCAACGAAGACCGATTCCGATACAGTCAATCATTAGACTAGTCTACCTTGGTCACAACCATTTGGGGTAGTTGACAACGAGCTGTGTCAAGGGTTTCTTATCGCACAGCCGTATTGGTAGCTTTAGCATTTCTACGTTGTTGTTATCTCAATGTCATACTGTAACACTAGCTCCTTGCCTCAAGCCCTACTCGGTTTGACACTATTGCCCATGTAATCGATGGACTTGGTTCCGCTAGACCATAAACGTCCCACCGATCGTCGAACGCCAAATTAGTTGACCAGCAAGCAGTAAAGGCGGAAGACAGAGACGATTCGGGAAGCATCACCTTACGCTCATGACGGAACCACAACGAACGAAAGTCAGATGAAGTATAACACTCTTAAAGCGGCAAGGATGCTACTAAAGCAAATCATTACTCCTCCATACCATTTTAACAGCCACGGTTTCAGATACATCCCTTATCGTTGCTGAACGAAACGTTCCGACGTACGAACTCATATTTGATATTTCGAGAGGGCGTACAAGGAGTAGACCCATATGCACTTAGAAGTAAAAATGCGATGTAGTACGTGGTGAAATCTGGCTATAAATCAGTCATTCATTTCTGTACAGTACACTGTGCTTTTATATGTCAGTACTTCATTTTATTGAAGTCATTCTGTTCGAAGCAAGTTGTGAAAAGGTTTCGCATTTTTTCAGGATAAAGCGTGAGTAACGGCTATCGGTTCTACTTTCTTGGTCTGTGGCTACAGTGTTGTTCTTGGACGGGCCTGTCGGTATTTTTAGCATCTGGGTTCATAACAGACCTTCGTCGCTACCATACCGCGGATGGTGAATGTTCCCCACTGATAATTCATTGTGAAATATTATTTTGTATTTTTCTCTAGGCTCCTCCACATCGAATGCATTGAATTAATAGACACATTTCAATCAGTATGACAGTATTTCGATAATAAATCATGGCACTCAAATGAGATTAACAGTTTGATTCTAGCTGAGATTGAATATCATTTATGATCAGTGTCATTCGATTGCCTTCATTGATCGAAAGCAAATTATCACAGAAAGATGACAGATTGCCATCCAAGAAAAATATTTTTATCATGGTGGTGTCAAGGACTGTTTGTCAATCTAAACAGCGGCCGCATCCAACATTAAATTAGCTATGTCCCCAGTGACTTCAATTTGTCGTCTCTACAGTCCTCACTGCCAGCGTTGCTGCAACAGACGATCGATCAACTGCGAAGGGCGCGACGGTCAGGTAGCGAAGCGGACTAGTTTTCTCGGCACAGCAGCTGTTTCGAATATAATTTTAGCAAAATATTCACTTTGACATCGAGTCCTCGCCGATGTTTGTTTGTGGACAAGAATGTTTCGAAACATCAAAGGCCGATCGACCGCCAAAAGAGCGGCGAAAGACTCGTTTGCCTCGTTGCCTCAGTTCCGCGTCACGTGTGTTAGATCTCGGTTGTTTCGACGCGTTAGTATTGTTATTAACGCTGGCGGATAGAGACGCATGGCGAATAAGAGCAGTTACCAACAAAATAACACATTAAATTATTTCTGAGCTGCTTTAAAGTAACGGTAGAACAGATGTACTAAAAATGTACCCATTAGCACCGGTTTCCTGTTCAACGCAGAAACAATAAAAGCAGGCTGTTGCATGAAGTACAGTAAAGCTTAGAGCACTCTCCAAGTGTATATCCCAAGGTCCGTCACGTATGTGGACATGGACAATAAGCTCTGCGATTCTTGCCTGTAGAAGCATTTCGTTCCAAACGATTAATGAAAAGTAGGGCTATAAACCGCTTACCATATCTGGTGTCCTCATCAAGAAGAGTTGGCAGTATCTGAAGCACAGAGCCGCACGATACGCGATTACAGTAGAGGTTGTAGTGTTGAATTGTCACAGTAGCCACAAAGTCCTATCATGCCCGTTGCATTCTATCTGGCTAACGAGCTCTCGTAGCCTTCTTTTAACACGGCGTATAGAAACGCACCATTCAACTCCAAGGCTTCAGATGGGAAGCCACTGGAGGGGTCACTTCTTTTCCCTTATATACTTCAGCAGTACCATCACTAAGCTCGTACAGCCGAAATTCGGCGGTAAAAATTTCCGTAGCTGACGAAGTTCCTTTTGCCTTATTAGGCAGTTATTGTCTCTAGCAGAATGGTACTCTGGATAAAAGGACCTGGATTTCACATTCGTATTAGCCTCTAAACAGCATGGTAAAGCCTGTTCTGCATGAGTCTACTATTGGAACAGGAATGACTAAGTAAGGTGAAGTAAGATAAGGAACAAGGATATGGGCGATGCTTGATAAATGGCATAAAAAATAAAAACGCAAATAATATTCCCAATTCAACTTGATTGGCCAAGGTTTGGAAATCTGGTGTAGTAATGTTACAGGAACATGCATGTTCAAGCCAGCATGAGAAATTCCTCCTTCTAGTTAACTGTTTTTACTGAATAAAAGCCTGCCCGATGCAGTCACCACTTTTGCAAACTTCTAGCTTATAAACGCCGTAAAGAAACGAGTCACTCCTTACGAGTTCCTATGATTTACCGTCATTACGCGTCGAAGTAAATACAGTTCTACTGTGTTCAACTGTCTATCTCGATTCTTCGCTAGAACGATAGCCTCTATGTGTATCAACACTAACGTGACCAAGGTAAACGTACACACATATTTGAGGAAATAGATATTTCGGTTTCAGTTTAAATATTGGATAGTGTCACATACACTGGAAGCTACATCACTCTTCATATATAACTATAGAACTGGAGATTATGCAACTAAGTTTTTAAATCTTTATGTTACGCTGGCAAATCTGTTATGCCACATTGGTTTCCTCATAACTTTTGAATTTTCTGCGATGAGAAAGAGGCCAGCTTTCATCAGCTGTGTTGCATACGGAAGTTATCAGGAAACAGAACCCCTTTACCGTGCTATTCACCAGTAAAATGTCATCTGCATAATCCAGGTAAGCAAGGCATATAGCCGAATATGTTTAACTACACCTTCTCTCTAGTATCACTACCCATTCTTCTCTGCATGGCTCAGCCTGTTTCAGAGAAGAAAGTCGATAACAATCTTGAATAGTAAAGTAGGAAGCGCATCTCCATGACTAATTACATTTAACAGGGTACCATTCATATAGCCTCCCTTTAACTTTAACAATAGACATGGTTCCTGTGCACATCTCTTTCAATATTGCAATAACGTGCATAGAAGCTTAAAGGTTTGAATGTCATTGGACGTGTACTCAATACAACGCTGCTTTAAGTCGATAAATATAACTAGCAAAGCCACGGAAGCTTTAACATTGTTATATGATTGTATTCAAGTATTTATATTGTATTAATGTGCTAAAACGTCGTTAAAGCCATTTGACATGGTCCAATTATAATCCTAACCTTAATTAGAGGTCAGGGAAATGAAATAACGATACGTCAGGTCACTCTCGCGGAGAACAAAGGATGCTTTCATTACCTTAACAAAGGATACTATGATTAGAGACAATGATAAGAAGATCAAGCTAACTAAAGCAGCGTTACAGAACAAAGACTAAACAAATTATTTAAAGGCCCAAGCTGTGACGAATAACTAAGGATTTCTGAAGACCCTGCTGAAGGAGAACAGTTAAATACTCTTCGAAACGTTTAGGTCGAAAGTTTTCTTTAAGCTAATATATGTTTTGATTTTATGGTTGGCAACACGAATAGAAAGTTTTCCTGCTGCCAGCCATGGAATTAGCGGACCCATTAGCTTCAAGTTATCAACAGAAAAGTGTCTTAAAAATTATTTAGTTTCCTTGGACTAAGAAATTCTTATACTCTTCGCATTTTGTCGTTTGAAACCTATTAAGAAGAGTGTGCATTAATGATTTCCTTTGAAACCGAACCTTTCAGGGTTTCCTAGTGAACTCACATAGTGAAAACGGAAAGCGGACCTATCTGAGTCTATGGTTAGCAACGACAAACAAATAACAGAGCCTTGGAAATGTAGTAAATGCGAAAATAACGCACAGAAGATTTACTGACAGACATGTAGTAACAAAAAGTAACATTACGTAAAAAATTCAGATTGTTTCAAGGTTACAGTTGTTCTACCCTTGTGACATTACAATACATATTATCTTACCAACTAGATTCCTGTGTCATATTCAATCCTTACGTAATACAAACATCAACTATGCAATTCAATGGGTACCAGTTATCAGTACCTCGAAACGAGTTTAAACACATAATTATCATTCTTTTTCGATCTTTACTGGATGAAAGCTTTATAAAGGCTTTGCAACGAACTTCTACTACTGATCCTGTTTTCCTACGGAACGTTTAGTTTCTCTTGGAACCCAGTCTGTCGTTTTGATTCAGCGATCAATATTCCGTGCTTCTTGCAATGTGTAATGCCCTTTGACTTCTTCACTTGTGTGCAATGACATCGCTGTCTTGATTTTGCTCTTACCCATTCATTCGTCTTCCTATTTTTGAATAGTAATAGCACCTTACGAATAGCTTTAAAACTAATTCACGTTTCAAGCACAAGGGTAGTTTTCTGCAAATGAATATTTCCAATCGTGCAGAAGTGCTCCATGCCATTTTTACTCTTCTGCTGATTTCGTAGAGTTGGATCTCCATTGCGGAGATGAGGTGTCAGAAATAGACATAGTTTCGTAATTTTTCGAGGCTTTGTCCATTGACTTAAGGTAATAGTAAATCAATGGTATGAATTATTAAGTCATCTATACAATGAAAAGTTCTGCTTTCTTTGCTATACTTCATTCTGTTGCTTTAGACCGGAAAGAGTCAATGGACAGTCAAAGTAGTGCAATGGTGAGACGAAAGGAAAGAAGCGCTCCTTCGCTTCGTCGAAAACGACGTATCAGTCGATTTCCGATGATTCACAGGCAGAGGGACGAAACCTCTTTTTCGCAGGACAGTTCGGATGCAGATCGAAGAGTTTACGATCGCCCTGTGAAATTCGAAAGCCGCTGGAATGGGAATATGCTCAGATGCACGCATGCGGCCCAAAGTTTAACCAATAAGAAGAGGGTAATCAAAATGCTGGCGGCTATAGTAGTCGAGTTTTTCATCTGCTGGATGCCGTTCTACACCTACTACCTGGTAATCGTGATCAAACCATCGAACTTCAACGCCAACTTCCACACAGTGTTTTTGATCATGGCCTATCTGAGCTCATGTACCAACCCGATCACATACTGTTTCATGAACGGTAAATTCCGGCAAGCGTTTCTGGCCGCCTTCGGTTGCATATGCACCAGGCTCAAACGCAAGTACGTCATCTACAACCCGCGCGAAAAGTCGACGACGATCAAGAGACAAGAAACGCATATGAAAAGCACGACTGTCGTTTCTTCATCAAATATATCGCGGGGCATCAAGAATGACAAGAATGGTCCTGACTGAACTGCCGGCCAACAGGTGACCTGATAGCTGAAGAAAACTGCCAATCGGCTATTTGTCGGTCTGGTCAATCCAGTACTGATGGCGTCTTGCCGTACGTTACGACGTTTAGCTCCAGTACCACCCCTGAAGCGCTGGTCGCAGCCAAACACCGAGTTGCACCATTTTGATACTATGCGGCGGTCCTCGGTAGTCATGGTCGACTGTCGTTCGTTCATGTCATTGGATTCATTTACGCAGGTTGTTCTGGTGCTTCATCAAAATCATCGACACGATTCGTTTGGTTGATACGAGTCGATTATATGTGCAGGAAACACGCGTATCCAACAGTTTCTTCTCAGCTGTTGCTGACTGACCATGAACAGCCTGAAAAGCCTAACCTGACTAACTCCCACTCATGTATGTTATCTAATTATACACAATTTTATAACTCTGTTTTTATAGTTTTGTCAACAAAAGAATGTCATAAGTTTAACCGGTAATCTTCTTCCATAAGTCATTAAGACATTCGCCGTGACACAAGTTTCGTAAAAATTCGAAAGTGAGTTTCAGTATTTCAAATATTACTGTTAGTAGTAAAGTAAACGTATGAATAAAAGTTCTGAGGTTGTCTATTACAGTTAATAAATCAGATTATTTTCCACGTTGTACCCGGAACGACGGCATACACTTCGCGTTGATCTAGTAAGTTTTTGAATGACTGAGTAATAAAAACAGCACAATAACTGTTTATTCATACATAGCAAGTATGATCGATCAGGTGACATCTCGTCTGACGAGTCTCAATCAAAGTAGAAAATATTCAGTCAGAAATTCTTCCTATGACTCGCAGCTGTTATAACGTTTGCAACCAGAAAGCAAGCCTTTGGTCCTTGATGTTGTTTTAAAGTGATTTATCAATAGCAAACGGCATAATGCTCATCTGACGTACGCATTGTTCGTATCTTGTGTCACGATT